TCACTGAAATCTGAGACTACATTGCGCTAGACAGGTACAAGGTACTCACACATCAGCATACAGTTCAACATGAAAATGTATTCCAGCTGATTATTGTGTTGTGTTCATATTTTGTATGGAATAGATTTGAAATGAAACAGCATGCTGTAAAGCAGTAGTATTACAACTTTTTCAGCGGGGACCCCATTTATTCCGCAATCATTTCTTGGGACACCATGTTATTCGCAAGATTTTTTCGCGACCCCACTTCAAATCTAAAGACTCAACCTTCAAATTTGTACATTTACATTTTTAACATTAACAAATAACCTTTAATTCATTACATTTTCATCTATCAAAATGAAACATTTCCTCAATAAAATTGTATTTTTCTAATTATCTTTCTCAAAAACATGTGTATATATTCCCATACAATAATCTGTACTCTTTTATAAAACACTTTTATTTAGGGGTCTCCCGAGTGGCGCAGCGGTCAAAGGCACTGCATCGCATTGCTTGAGGCGTCGCTACAGACCTGGGTTCGATCCCAGGCTGTATCACAACCGGATGTGATCGGGAGTCCCATAGGGCAGTGCAAAAAATAAATAATGTTTTTTTCTTTTTGGGCGACCGCACTGCAGTTCTCCCACCTTTGAACACCACTGCTGTAAAGCATATTAAGAGGCACATAAAAGTAGTATCCTGTGTAAATACAGCAATGTGGATTGTAAATAACTAAAAAAGGAAACGCTGCCGATGGAAGATAACAACAAAGGACAAACACATTTCTCCTCTGAAGTACACATGGTGGAAAAAGAGGACTAGAGAGTACAGAAAAATAATGAAATAAAGGTTCCCTACATATATTAATGATTGTGCTTACCCATACTGATCATTCAAAGCATTGGGATTTAGGTTCAGCTCTCAATCACCATACTAAAGTGCATACAATACAGCAGTTCCATTTTTTATGCATACTGTAATACTTGACATGCATTTATGTTTCTTGGGTTATTCATGTCAGGTGTAGATTCAGGAATCATGTGCCTTTTGTGACATTGATGAGGAGAGGTAACAGCACATGGTGCAACATCCACAACAGTTGGCAATGCATGCAGATGGAGGGTGATTGTGATAGATGGTTGCTGGATGTTGTAGTTCTCGTTCTATATAATAGATGGCTGGATTGGCACTGCGCAATTGACTTTGTAGTCCACATACTGTAATTCATTCCAATGCACATGTTATCTCCAGTGAAATCAAGCCATGATTAAAGTGACACTCCAGTCTCCTTTTCCACCTCATTTAACACCTGATTTACTTAGCAAAAGGCTCATCTCAATAGGTGGTCCAGGTACTGTAAAGGCATGCTTCCCAGCCGAAACAGTTCAGTAGAGTTTGTGCATATGTGACGTTTTTGTTCGTTTTGGACTTCGGTGAGGATTTATTTGGCTGTTCAGACACACACAAAAATACTGGAGGCAAACCGAAGTTCAGAGCCGAAGTCTACGCCCCTTCGTCGGTGATTGGTCAACAGTAGGGATTATTCAATAACGTTTTGTTGTCATTCAACGAGAGACGACTAGTTTTCATGCAATTTATTTTATTGAAAAATACTGCACCAAACATCTTAGTTAGATGTAAAATTGCGGGACTAAGATCTCTTCGGCAAAAATGTCAAAACTAATGACAGATTTCTTGAGTTATCTTAGATTCATTCTGACTATTTTGAGGAAGTGTATACTGGCTACGGCGTCTCAAAATGGACAAACATGACTATTGCTGCTTTTTTCTTGTTTTTCAAGCGAAGGTCTTTTACAGGAGTATGTGAGCTCACTCACTCGGCTAGGTGCCAGCCTTAAATCATGTCATAGCACAAGTAAGGGGGGAGGTCGGTGACATCACATCAGACCATCAGACCAACTCCTTGAATTGCCTACTTCTTGAAGTTTGTAGTTTTGTCTAAAAAACACTATTTTGCTCAAAACTATTTTTTTTTACCCTTAAGTGTGTGTACATTACTGTATCTAAACTTGGGATATTGTTTCTCAACAGTAAAAGTAAAAACATTGCTGGAGTGTGTCTTTAATATATTATGAAGTACTGTATTTAGTGGTGTGAAATGCAGTGTGATGGTCCAGATATACTGAATACAGTATATATCTCCAAACAAATGCTTAAAAAACATGTAAGACTTCCGTTTAGCGACATGTGAGGCTTTACTTCTGGAACACCATAGGCAACTACATTTTAACATGATTGATTTATAGTGTTTTATGTATTCAATTAATAATCCACATTTAATCCATTAAAACAGCTTATAATTAGGGCCACACGTTTTTACTGGTCAGATCACATGATCAAGAAAAAGGTGTTTCCTGAGCATGTCACCTGACACGGAAAAAACTCCAGGGCCTTAGAATAATTTATTTAACTCACCGGCCACTGCTTTGAAAACATTTGTTTAGTATTCAAAACCACACTGGTAACTGGGATAACAATGTATTTATAGGGTATGTTGATGTCATGTATGGATGACGTCTGCTAGATGACAAAAATGTAAATGGATGGCAAAGTTGTAAATTAATAGACATAAATATGTGCAATGGAATAAATTAATACATTTATTCATTTAGCTTTTCAGTGAGATGGGTTATAGCAATAACTTGCATGCAGTTTACTCATACACTACAAGCATTATGCATATAAAATATGGGATCTATTATATGTTATGTAATCAAAACATTCATTGTGTATAAATGTATTATATTATGAATGTTTTTATTACATGCGAAATATACTCATATAAATGTATACTTTATAACATTTAATTACAGATACTTGTGACATATTATACAGAGTGAACAGCTGACAAAAGTAACATCCTGAAGAATTTAATAACTGTACAAATGTAAACAAATGTAGGAAACAATCGAAGACTTGTGCTGTCACACTAGCCTTGAGACAATCATATTCAGAATTGTCTGAACCATATTTTCCATCTTAGATATTTATTATGATAAAGCATGTGAGATGGCCTCCCGAGTGGCGCAGTGGTCTAAGGCACTGCATTGCAGTGTTAGCTGTGTCACTAGAGATCCTGGTTCGAATCCAGGCTCTGTCGTAGCCGGCCGCGACCGGGAGAACCCATGGGGCGGCGCGCAATTGGCCCAGTGTCGTCCAGGGTAGGGGAGGGAATGGCTGGCAGGGATGTAGCTCAGTTGGTAGAGCATGGTGTTTGCAACGCCAGGGTTCTGGGTTCGATTCCCATGGGGGGTATGAAAAAAAAAAAATAATAATGTATGCACTCACTAACTGTAAGTCGCTCTGGATAAGAGCGTCTGCTAAATGACGTAAATGTAAACTGTGACCACAGTTTACAAATGACACAAAATAAAATATGCAAGAATCAAAATGAGAAGTCCACTTCCCCTTCACTAGATCACATGGGGAGTTTCAGAATGAAAAAGTGAAGTGAGGCTTAAATAACTAAAGTGGCTATGGTACAGACAGTGCGGCTATATTGTATAGCAAATTATTTACAAAAGGGTTGTATAGTACAAAGAAAAATGATTATATGACAGTATTTATATAGACATACTCTGGTCTATCTGCCATATAGAACAGAGAATGCAGAATATAATATACACATTTATATGTACTAAATAACACTAACAACTTCATATATTCCATTATACATGAAAACTATCACCTAATATATCAAATATATTTGTATATTTCATATATTATAGAATATGTACATACAGATACATCAATAACAATGGAAACCTATTTGGGAAGTGAGGAAGGAAAGGTGCACACAAAGCAATTTGGATTTGGTAAATGACAAGGACGTTTTCTAGCACTGACCAATGATGTTGCAGTACCAAAAACGCAGAGTCATGATGCTAGAATGCCTCTTAAGTTTTTTCATATGATGAGCACATATGATACAGAATACAGTGTTTCATCTGTCAGAGGCTTGGAGACTACATGAGGTGACTTACACCTGACTGACACAACTATACTGTGCAGAGGACATTGGCTCGTTTTAGCATTCACCACTGTGAAGAGAACAAGCTGGACAGAAGAGCTGAATTATGAATACTATGGGTATCAACTCTGTGAACCAGCTGTAAAGATGAATGTATTCTGTATTGTACTGTAGTTTCTGATTAATGAAAGCAGGAAAACTAAGTATGTGTTACTAGATAGCGTTAGGCATTGTAGCCCATGTTATTGTTCTGAAACTGATGGTAGACAATAATTGTTGGTAATGGTATTTGGACTGTATGCTCTAGAGAAATGTTCTTGTTGATTTGTAATAGTGTGAGTAAACATTTAATAATGTTACCGATTCATCAGAGTATGAAAAACTCAGACATCAAGGAGAAGGAGAAATCTATCTAATTTTGGTGATGGTGTGTGATGCGACATGCATAATCATGGGGAAGCATTCATGCAGGTCTACATTTAGATTGAACTGCAGCAATCCCCCTAACTGCACTGCAGCAATAATGGTCATCATGAGTAGTCAAGTCGTATGAACATTTAAAGTGAACAAGAATACCTTTAAAGCAATACATGAAACCCCTCTGTTTACAAAAATAGTCACACAATCAACCTATGATTAAAAACAAGATTCTGTAAGAAAAATAAGTTAGTAAATCATATGGCAGTTATAATGCAAGACACTGTATGCAGCCTGGTAGTACTAGCTGCAAGAGAAGTTACAGGGCACAACATAACTAAATGGTTCTTTTACCTGTGGGCGGGCAACCATTTGTTTTTGTCCCTACAGACATTTTTATCTGAACAATTGGTCACCCTACAGCCTAAGAATGTGAGTCACTACCTCATTTTAGACACCAACTTACATTTAGACTCAAGTAAGCATTGTCAGTTTGGCATAGATATCCACACCAAAGAAGAGGGTCCACTTGACACATTGGTCACCTTCAAAGGCTGTAAACAATTTGTCAGGAAATGAAAGGTCTACGTTGCATCTTCCCAACATCCGTTTACTTCTTTTTCTTCTTCACCTCCTTCTCTCTCTTGTCTTTTTCATATTTGTTTTTCTCTGGTTTTGTGACGCTGTCATATGATGGGGGAGAGGCTGTGGAGGGGGTCATCTCAGTTCTGTCTGAAGTAGAGATCTCGTTAAATTTGTCTATAACGAGAACCTCTTTATCAAGGAGAATCTTCTTCTTGTAAGTGGCAGAGGCCCGTTTAACAATACGCCTGAGCAGATACCGTCTGAAAGCTCTCTGAATGACCAGGGCAGACATGTCCTCTTGTTTGCGGCGCAGCGTGGTGGTGATGGGTTCGTAGGACACCTTGGAGGGGTTGGAGGCCATAAAGCGCTCCTCCATTTGACCCCGGAGGATGTCCAAGCCTTCGCCCTCACCCAGGACGCGCTTGGTGAAGGCAAACAGGATGTCCAGGCAGTGGATGCGCTCCCCACTCACCATGGGCAAATCCATGGAGATCAACTGGATCTTGTTGGGCTTAGAAATGCGTAGCGGGGGGTCCAGGGCATCAGCGAAGTCAGACAGCTTCTCATACTCCATGAACTGGGTGGCCCGCGCATCAAACTTCTCCCAGACCTCGTAGAACATTTCAAAGTCATCCTCGCTCAGGGGCTCAGCGCTCTCCTCAGTGGCCACACTGAAGTTCTCCAGGATGACAGCAATGTACATGTTGACCACAATGAGGAAACAGATGATGATGTAGCTCACAAAGAAGATAATGGCCACAGGGGGGTTCCCACAGTCTCCCCCCTTGTACTTGCTGCCTGGGTGCTCTTTATGGCTGTCGCAGTCTGGCTCTTTCTTGTTGAGGATGGGCGCCAGCAGGCCATCCCAGCCAGCTGACGTGGTGATCTGGAACAGGCAAATCATGCTGTTGCCAAATGTCTCAAAGTTGAACATGTCGTCAATCCCAGACTCCTTCCTGACGTATGCAAAGTTCGACATGCCAAAGATGGCATAGATAAACATCACTAAGAAGAGCAGAAGACCAATGTTGAACAAGGCAGGAAGTGACATCATCAAAGCAAACAAGAGTGTACGGATTCCCTTGGCACCCTTGATGAGGCGAAGGATGCGACCAATTCGGGCCAGTCGAATGACTCGGAATAAGGTTGGTGAAACAAAGTACTTCTCTATCAGTTCAGAGAGAAACATACCTGAAAGGACAGAGAAGAATTACACATAATAATCCCCAAAGCAGACTATCAAATTGCAGTATTACAACTATAGAAATAGGTGAAAAATCTTACCAATTATCGACAGGATAACAACAATAAAGTCAAATACATTCCACCCAATGGTGAAGTAGTATTGGCGGAGTGAGATCATCTTCAGAATACACTCTCCAGTAAACATGACAATAAACACCAGGTTGATCTTGTAGAGAATTCTATCCATGTCGTCCGTCTGGTCGTCCGTCTCCACCATCATGGTGACCATATTAAGGCATATAAGAATCATGATGACAATGTCGAAGGCTTGCTTTGTAATGAAATCAAAGACATATCCTTGAAACTTGTTCTGGAGGAGACATAAGGAAGAAGCATTTTGAGACACCAGGAAGTAGACATAGAGGTTCACGAATTGAGGAGTTCTTTGTTGAGAAACAGTGAAACAGTTAAAGAGTGGTATGACCCAACCTGTTCTCAGCTCAGTTCGTAGGATTTGGTACGTTAATTTGTTCCCGCCGTTTAGTTATATTTATATTATGTTACGTTAGCTTACATAATTAATGGAATAGCGGTTGTACAAAATCATACGAATTATAGGACGTATAGTATCATACGTCTTACCTGGTCGTACAATAGCATACGAATTGGATTAATTTATCATACACTTGGAGGACTTAAAGTATTATACATCTTTCCCTGAGACCAGGTTTACTTTTTGCATTGTAACAACAAAGGGGAATTACAGGGAGAATTGGTGGTTAGGAGAACTAATGACAAAGGTTAGGATAATTTACTTAAAAGGTTACGAGAACTAAAACGTCAAAGATTAGGAGAATTAACATTTGGTTAAGGTTAGGAAAAGGGTTAGGGGAAGGGGAAGCTAAAATGCTACAGTTGTCCCCGATGCAACTCGAACATGCAACCTTTGGATTGCTAGACGGTATACGCCCACCCGTCATCCCCGACCAACCTCCCTACTTTCGTTTCTGTCTAAAGTAACTAGACCATTAGTACATATCATACGTCTTGGAGGTGCAGAAAAATACGTATAGTATACTTCGTATGGCTTTGAGGCCAGGCTGCATGACCTTACCGCTGGCCTAGGGATAGGCTTTTGGGGTTTCTTTGAGCCAAGCTTCTTCATAGCATTGTAGTATTTCTTCTGTTCCTCTGTCATGAAGATGTCTTGACCTCCAAAGTAAAGAGGCAAGACAAGCCTAGTTAAATTCCTGCAGCTCTTACACATTTCTAGTCCATTAGTGGGGGAAAAATATTATTAATAACGTTAAATCAGAGAAAATGTATGCATGTATCATTGCATGATTACTATAACATTAAATACTTATCTTTTTCTTTTGCTGGTTGAAGTTGTCTATAATGACACCAATGAAGAGGTTGAGTGTGAAGAAGGATCCAAATATGATGAATACCACAAAGTACATATACATGTACAGATTAACTTCATAGTCGGGTTGATCCTCCAACTGTAATAGAATAGCATAGTATTACATTTACATTACATTTACATCATTTAGCAGACGCTCTTATCCAGAGCAACTTACAGTTAGTGAATACATTTTTTAAATTTTTATACTGGCCCCCCGTGGGAATTGAACCCACAACCCTGGCGTTGCAAACGCCATGCTCTATCAACTGAGCTACATCCCTGCCGGCCATTCCCTCCCCTACCCTGGACGACGCTGGGCCAATTGTGCGCCGCCCATGAGTCTCCCGGTCGCGGCCGGCTGCGACAGAGCCTGGATTCGAACCAGGATCTCTAGTGGCACAGTTAGCACTGCGATGCAGTGCCTTAGACCACTGCGCCACTCAGGAGACATATTACCATACATTATTCAACGGGTGGGTCTAATCCTGAATGCTGATTGGTTAAAACCGCATTCCAACCGGTGTCTATTCCACAAGTTACCACCGGCTAAATCTATGACGTTAAAATGCCTATTTACTCTGTTACATCTGACTGCGCAATCCACTGTCTCATCAGCCCAGCCAAGCAATGTATAAACTTGATCTCCACTACAAAAAGCATTTAGACATCATCTCAAATTTCATTTAGACTAACATTTTGTTTTCAACAGCAGAGATTTGTATAAACCTTGCTGTCTGTCTCTCCGACATTTGCAACATTGTTTCAATATTCAAATTCGATCTCCAGCTGTCCCATAGTAATGAACGTGTCAGGAGTCGGGACGAGACAGACAGGCATGCAGCGTTTCTCAGCCAGTCGAAATCATGAATCAGCTGGCATCATTTTTAGGGATATATACAAAGAAATGCAGCTAGTTTGTAGTCTTTACAGCTTCAGTGTGAAGTGATTGTGTTAGCTGTGTTGTTGGCTAACTCCTCTGAACAAAATAGTCCTGACGAGTGAGCACATTTTCTATGCCAGCTGAAATCGCGCCTCATTAGCTCATTGTTATGGATGTATCCAAATAAATGTATCTGGAAAACTGCTTAAACAAATGCAAATGAAGCTACTTTGCTGTTATTCTGGCTGCACTTTTTGACGTGACTGTAAGTTATCCGTAGTTAGCTATCTAGCAAGCAAGGGATAAGAACATTGCCAGCCAGTATGGCAATGGAACATTTAGAACAAATGACTGGGTCGCGTCTCTAGCAAACAAACCGATAGAACGAAAGACCAGCCGGCTTGGGTAGCAACCCTAGACTTGTGTCGGGACTATATCTTGTGGAAGGATTAAATAGTATGAATAAATTCATCAAAATAATTTTTTTAATGAAAATATGTAAATCATTATTTGAATATGTTAGTAACCCGTTGTATAAAAGTGATAATGCCCTCGAAGCCGGTGTTTGGAGGATATATTGGCACGGTTTGCCAGCCCTCGACTCTGTCTCGGGCCTAACAACACCTGTACCAATACAGTATATCCTCCAAACACCAACTTCTCAGGCATTATCACTTAATTAACAATATCATACAAACATGAACACTATGATATATACATTGAAAATGTGCAAACACAATTAGCCATTAGTCTGAAATACCTTGTGAAAGGTATTACTGAAAAGACTTACACTGCGAGAGTCCACAGCTGCATACATGATGTCCATCCAGCCTTTGAATGTAGCCTTAGAGAAAGTAAGGAAAATGTTATTACTAGTAAGGATACTAGTTCAGAAGGACTTAGCCCTCACACAACTCATCTGCCCACACGGAATTGGTACAAAACTTTTGACATAGGTCCACTCTCTGTCAATAAAATATTTCTGGTGATATGAAAGAGCCGCTCACCACTTGTAACAGTGCCAGATAGCCTGCTCCCACGTTATCAAAGTTGATCTTGACATTCTTCCAGTAGGCACCTTCCAAAGCCAAACATTCTGTCTTGTTAGCCACATCTCTGACTTTGAAGCGCTCCCCTGTGGTCATGTTGACACAATGGTAGTATTTCCCTGCAAACAGGTTGACGCCCATGATGCTGAAGATGAGCCAGAAGATGAGGCACACCAAGAGCACATTGAAGATGGAGGGGATGGCTCCGAGCAGAGCATTGACGACCACCTGTAAGGATTCACACGGCCTCAGTCTCAGATATAGGAGCATAGACAATATCCCATTGGGTAATGATGATCATTTTCAGCACTGACAATAAATACTGTAGGCTACATGTTGACTTTGATTGGTGATGGTGAAAATAGGAAAACACATGAGTAAAGTGTTTAAATGCCAGTGTACACATCAGTCAAAGCTCAACACAAGTATCACTAACACCACAGCTTATTAACAACCATGACAACAGGAAGGTAAGAAGCAAAGGAAAGAAGAAGGAGAAGAAGAAGAAGGGAATGTATTTGTAAAGGAGATACTGTAGGCTATGTTTACATGTTTTAGTGAATTACAATTAGGCTACAGTGTGAAAAAACGAAACAGAAAAAACCTTGTAGAGGCAGGATGAAGTCACATAATTTGTTTACTGTAAATAAAAAATACAAACACATAAATAGTGTTCACATTAAAGGCAGTCCCCCGCAGCAAGCAACATGCAAAAACAGTACAGTTTCAGAGAACATCAATATAGAGCTAGTGAAGCAATGAGAAGTCAGTCATACAAATGGGAGAATTCAGTGACAACCACGTGAGGAGAGATCGTCGTCACAGCACTGGTGGAAATCTAGCCAACCACAACATGCAAGAATCTGATCGATAAGAGCTACATTGATTATACCAGTCGACACCCATCCTCCACATATGACATAAGCATCCAAACCCCTGGCTAGAGCTTGTATTGCACAGTAAAATACACATTGCTGTGAGAGTACCATAAATGTTTACGATGGTTAAGTGTAGTAGCCTCCAAGACCTCCAAGTTTGTTTACATTTTGTTTAAGTAAAGTGAATGCATTTTCTACGTTTTATTGATTAGTTTTCAGTAATGCTGACATCCCCTGATGAGTGCACATGGCCTGCCGGTGGGACTGATGGAAACTCTTGTGTTATAACATCCTGAAAACCAGGGTTGGGGTCGATTCCAGTCAATCAGAAAGTACACTGAAATTCCAATTCTCTTCAATGCTTTTAAATGAGACATATTTGGAATTGGAATTTGGTTTACTTTCTGAATTGACTGGAATTGAAATGGAATTGACTCCAACTCTGCTGAAAACACATATAGCTGGAAAAGGAGGAATAGGAGAGGAAAGGTAACTCTAAATATACATGCATGGAATGAGTGAACTTTACATTCTCCAGCTGTTGGGTTGCTGTGGGCCTTAGTTTGACTACAGAGCTCTGTGCCCATGCAGGGCGCTGATGTCACGCTGGTAAAAGGCTGTGATGATATGCACTGTGAGGCAACAGGACAGGGCTCTGGTCTGGTGACTCTTACCCTCATGCCCTCGAAGCGGGACAGCGCTCTCAGGGGCCTCAGCGCTCGTAGAGTCCTCAGGGACTTGATGGCACTCAGCTCAGCGTAGCCCAGGGCGTTGGCCACAAGGCTGACAAGAGACACCTGTAAACACAATGAGGTCATGAGAAGAGACGAGTGACTGGCTGGCACAGGCTCTCTCCTGGGCCTCAAACATGTGTTTTAAACCAGGAAATAGGAAACTCCATCGCCGGCTACATGACAGTAGCATTTCTACATTGAAACGTCAAGGCAATGTCTCAAAACAAGCTAATTGTGAACATTACCAGACTATATATATTTTGTGTAAGTGAAGAGGTAGTTTTAAAAGAAGACCTACGTCAACAATGAGGAAGTCCAGCCAGCACCAAGCGTTGGTGAAGTATTTGGCGAATCCATAGGCCACCCACTTCAGCAACATCTCCAGGATGAAGATGTAAGTGAAGACTTTGTCCGCAAACTCCAACACTGTCTTAATGGTCTTCCTCTGCTCGATGTAGATGTCCTCAAATGCCTTGGTGTAAATACAAGCAAATCAGATGATCCCTACCTATACACCACATTAATCTCACACACTAGAGCAGTAGCTGCTGCCTCATCAGATCTGTTGCCAGTTATTTCTGTGTCAAGGGATCACAGAATTGTCAATTACACAGTACTGAGCACTTTGAACAACAGAGCAGCTGCATGTGGTACTGTATTTCTACTCCTTTGTAGTTTCTCATAAGGGTCAGACAATGGAGGAGGATTTGCCAGCCCCCTCTGTCATACTCTCAGATCCTTCCCCAAATCATTACTTCCCCACTTACCAGCGCTCCACTGCTGAGCAGGATCATGAAGATGATAAAGCTCTCGAACCAGTTGTGCTCCACTATCTTAAAGCAGGTTTTCCTTAATGTCCACCACATCTTCCACTTGCCCTCATCGACATTCACTTGGCAGCATTGGAATCTGCGGACACATCCTGAAAGCAGACAACATATAGGTTAATTGGAACAGATGTTCCAATTATACTAGTCTTTTCCCAAATATGATCTTATCCATTCTATTTCTGGGTTCCAGCTTGTTATGCCTGAAGCTGTTCACAAAAGACGATACCCACATCCTGAGACCTAGCCTATTGTATCTCTCACCATCAGTGAAGCAGCCTTCAGGTTCCATGGACTCCTCAGGCTCCAAGTCCACCGAGCCCTCTCCCTCTCCTGGGGGCCTAATGTCCACTGTACTGCCCTCTGAGGAGCTCAGCGGACGGTCTTCTGATAGCTGCTGCAAGGGGAGCCAAGCCAGAGCAACATTAGCACAGCACACCCATGACAGGACCTGGGACACCAGCATCTGCCCGGGAGCTGACATACTGAGCCTCATTACAATGGGTCACCCAGTGATGCAAGGGTACTGCCATATGTAAGCTCACAGGGTCTGTCTCTTTGTCTAAAGTTGTATATCATTTCATGCAGAATCAATAAAAATTACCTACAGACTTAGGAGATGAGACATGTATAGTTTGGAAAGTCAAATTGCAGGCTAACGCATGCATAAACACTGTTTAAATATATTTGTGTATCTCAATAAAGGCTGTAGGTAAAAATGATTTCACTTTAGTCATATGGCATGCGTTCTCTAAAAGTGCATGTTTGAACCAAGCCTGTGATCTAAATTATAGAACATGTATGCTCCAGTATTTTCATGTCCAGGACTTTTTAACCCAAACAAACTGGTCTTTTCCCCATTACAGTTCCTTCATTGACATGAAAACACATATGTCCAGTTGCTAAGCAGTAGACAAGCCTTAGTCATTTCAAAAACAGGGTAGCCTGCATTAGCTTAACAGCAGAAACAGTGTTGTGCACTTTAACCAAGACAGGCATTAAGGAGTCCGCATTCCAGGCTAGTGTCAGATTAGGACCACTTGATCACCCTGGAGACAGGGCATTAAACACCCGAAACAAGATAACTTGAGAGAGTAATGTGATCATACTAGGGAAACAATGAATAGAAAATAGAATAGAAAATACAGTGCTTAGAACATTTCCAAAAACAGTGTAAGAACTAGAGGAAAGCTGTTTTTAGGAGAGGTGTGCTGGATTACAAGGAATAGCAACCTCCCCATGCAATGATGTCAAACATCTAATACTGCTGACAATATTCAAACGTGCCAGTTTCTCCTCAAGCACTTTGTATCTTTATACTGGGTGTGTCTTCCAACAGCCTTGAACTGAGAGCAGCCTTGCGTTAATGCCTTTCTGGGGTATACAGTAGCACTGAGCTGTCATTGGACCCAGCTAATGCAGAATGGTGAATGATGTAAGCATGCTACGATGATATATGCGCTGGGAATACTCCATTTGACTAAGCTACTGCAATCATACAGATGTTTGATCTTCAATTTAGGTACTATTGTAGGCACTACGATGTCTTGTCATTTCCACATACAGTATACTCTACTATCTGTTATTAGTAACTCAAGAAGTTGCACCTCTTTTGGACTTGAGCTTATTCAGGTACCCAAGTAAAATATAATTAGTCATTATACAGTAAGTACACTCTTATTATAAAAGGTGCTACCTAGAACCTAAAAGGGTTATTCAGCTGTCCCCATAGGAGAACCCTTTGAAGAACCCTTTTTGGTTCCTGGTAGAACCCTTTTGGTTCCAGGTAGAACCCCAAAAGGGTTCTCCTATGGGGACAGCCAAAAAACCTATCCCCATAGTGTAGTATGTTCTGTAGTCTTACCTGCACTAACGTTAATAACGGTATGCCTACTAGCAACAACATTCATTTTGGAAACCCAGCTTATTTAAATAATTATGGTCTTCTTAAAAACAAGCATTTGTAATTATCTGCTTTCATCATTCGATTCTGGATCTTATTTGCCAAATGAAAATGCCATAATAAATGTTTTGGCTGTGAACCATTCCTCCAATGAATTTTGACCTTCAAAATCCATTACTCTACAGCATCAGTCAGATATGTAAAGTTCCAGGTGCTCTCTGGTTGCTGAACAATCCATCCCCAAAAACTAAACCAAACTAAAGGAACAAAACAAATAATAATCATGGGCTGATCTGTGGATGAAAACGGTGATGTTGCTCATTCACAAAAAAAGAAAGCATTGCAAAGAAGCCTTAAAATAATCAAGTTTGGCAGCATCAGAATGGCTGCTGAACGTATAGAAATGAAGTAAGGAGTAAAGTATGATCAAGCAGAAACAAACATAGATGATCAATCTAATAAAAAGGTCGTTCTTTTTTGATAAATGGAATAGGCAATCTCCATGGTTAGTGTTATGTACAATAAAGTGGTCTTACAAGTCTCCTCTCATTGAAAACCTTGAGAGCGTCTGTGAAACAGCTGCAATAACAAATGGGGTTAAGTGTGGTAAGTTACTGTACCACATGCTACCTTGTATGGAAGCAAAGCATGTTAGTCACATATTAACCTCTCAGAAAGTACATTTACAAGTGAAGGAAATAGAATCTCACCAAATTTCCAACAGCCATTATTGTTAAATGATAGATAGTCATTACAGTACCATAACAACACAAACAGCACAGTACAACAACATCAGCAAAATAAAACTGTAATGTTACCATAGATACCATAGATACTAATTGACAGTAGCCACTCAGTTTGCACCATGTTCTGGGACAGAGTGAGATCTGAAATGGGCCTTTTTACAACTCAAGGCAATAAAGCTCCCTAAAGAGGAGGATGTACCTGCAGAGCACTCAGACTTAAATGGCACATAATGTAATCTGAAGACTAGTATTTTCCTGTCTTTGTGGCCTCTCCTCATTACAGGGTCGTTGTATAAGGATCGAAAATGTCACATGCTTATACTTGGCTTGCCATGTACCGCGGGTTAAGTGCACCAGCATGACCACGGCAAAGGAACATTCGACTTATCTGAAACAACAAATGTATCCGCAGAGGACCACACAACAGCCAATTTCTGAATCAGTCTTCATCCATCATTCATATTATATTTGTCTCTCGCTCCATTCTGCCAGACCATAAAACCAAAAGCCGTAGATCGATGAGACATCGGAGTCTTACAGGAACATGTCAAAGTAATCACTAATGGCCCAAGCCTAACATGAGATCTGCGAAATTACCCCGACTTACATATCTCACATTGACATCAATACTGTAAATGATCTAAAACTGTGATAAGGGTCCTGGAGGGACTAAATGTTTATGTCCCCAGGATAAAATATAATGACAGCATTGTCATCATTGTGCATCATTTTGGGGAACGCTCTGAGGGCTCTATTTTCGGCAGGCGCTCTCGCGGTGCAACTGCCAAATGCACGTTAGTTTGCAATTTCAGCATGTAAAAACTGGCCTTCTGGCGTTTCCACCCCATGCGCCAGGTTCAGCAATTTACATGTCTAATATCAGCACTCTTGTGCTGAGGTAGAAGGGGTGTCAATATTTGAGCCATGTCCTTGAAAACAAGCGCAAAAGTGACCATTTCATGAAGCGCATATCGGGAGATTTAAGACCAGCAAAAAGCAGGTCTTAGCAGTAACGCGGTTGGTAATGGCATGGAGGCACAACATATCCAGAAGTGACGCACAGTGCCCTTATGCTCATGGAACAAGAGAGATGTGTTTTTTTCTGTGCCGGTTTTATTTGATTAGAAAATAAGCATATAGCCTTCCCTCTCCTTAATGAGGATGTTTTTTTTGTCCTGACCAATGCGTTCTCCAAGCTGCTGAGCCTATCAATAAAGGGTGTGGCTCATGAGACTGCTTTGAAATACATCTTAATCATCAAAGCTTTACTAAAATATCAAGTTTGGGAGCAGCAAAACAGTGAGCGGACATCCCCTTTATATCTATGTATTGTGTAGGCCTACAATATTTTAGCCAGCTCCCGTTTTGGACGTGTGTAAAAACCACTCCATGTAGGCTACATGTATCCATATGCCCATCATGAAATGAGAGATCAGATAATGCTGGTGACCCTTGTATTTAGAACATATTTTCTTGTAACAATTGCTTGTTTTCCATTTCATATGATTAAAAACCAAGCCCTCAGGAGGCTACCCTTAGCCTATACACTCTTAGAAAAAAAGGTGCTATCTAGAACCTAAAAGAGTTATTCGGCTGTCTCTATAGGAGAACCCTTTGAAGAACCCTTTTTGGATCCAGGAAGAACCCTTTTGGTTCCAGGTAGAACCCTTTTGGGTTCCATATAAAACCCTTTCCACAGAGGGTTCTACATGGAACCCAAAAAGTTTCTCCCTGGAACCAAAAAGGGTTCTACCTGGAACCAAAAAGGGTTCTCCTATGGGGACAACCGAAGAACCCTTTTGGAACCCTTTTTTCTAAGAGTGTAGGCTATAGAGAAGGCTGGTTCAACAGCAATCCATTACGTCTTTTTTATCCTGTTGATTTTATGATATCACGCTTCTGACCCCAAGCTATTTACAATTATTGTTGTTGTTTGAAAAACCCCCAGATATCTTATTTTTCATTTAATTTGATTAAAAAACAAATTTATTAGAATAATTCACCATCCTGGCTTTATGGTGAACGTCCAGCTCACATACAATGCAATTTAGGAGCCGTCTTCTATTTCTGGAGAAGTGTGAATGTGATCTGTAAGATGGTGCCATTGTGTTTATAAAACATTATATCTGGGAGCAGCATAACGGTCAGTGGACATTCTCTTTATATTGGTTCTTTGTCCAGATTCTGTGAAAAGTTTGGATGTGCGTAAAAGCCTCCATTGTCTATGTTGCCTTAATATTATATGCACACGGGGAACAATTATGGTGCCTGTAACTGTATTTAGACATAGCCTATTTAAAACAAGTTGTTGTTTCGTCTTGATTAGAATTTGATAGAATTATTCACTCTCTTTTTAAGCCTTATCAATCGTGAATTGAATCTTTCTTATTGATAACTTTTGGTAATTCCATGGCTCAGACATGGCATAATGCTGTTTACTGTAGGCCTAGCCCCTATATCAGTGTGAATGCTATGTTTAACAATATATTTCCATATTATAGCCATGCAATTAGGCTTCTTACAATGTGCACTGCAAAGACGTTCAACATATTTAGCAAAGATGAGATAGGCCTACATACATTTTGTTATTTTGTTTCTGTAGGCTATTTAACAAACTAGGCTATAGCGGATTACCATTAGAATTGGAGTTGATGACAACGCAATACATGAAATACCGTAAATACACATCTTGAAGCAACCACATATTTCTGGTTGTGAAAATAGCCCAAATACTTCTGACACACCCCCAAACCTATACTGCCAGCGCTAAGATGTACCATTGCGTTAGGTTTGTTAAAATAGAGCCCTGAGAGTGTTTATGTTGGCTGCCTGGTACATATGAGTCACTGCAGCTTTTCTACCTCCATAACCTACAACTGATTAACACCCCAGTGAGTGAACAGCGTGTGAGAGGCCAGCAATCCCCTCTTTATAAGCTCTAATGTGCCAAACACGCACACTATGATTACATTTGAGCATCACCTGACTCTGGCTGTCACAATTTGCAGGAGAGGAGACTGGTGGAAGGAGATATAGGAGGACGGGCTCATTGTAATGGCTGTAATGGAATAAATGGAACAGTATCGAATGGAAACCACTTTTGACTCCTTTCCATTTTTCCATTCCAGCCATTCCAATGAGCCCGTCCTCCTATCATTCCTCCCACCAGCCTCCTCTGATTTGCAGATACAGCATCAGTGCAATAATCTCTAATGAGTCATTCTAATGTAATTATGTTAGATAATGTGGACAAACAACAGCAAACAAGTAGATTTGCATAATATCACTTTTTTAAAGCTCATAACGTCGCTGTCTTTTTTTCAAATCCTTAACCTAGATCAACACTTGATTTCAAACTATGTACAAAAATCTCAGACTGTGAACTACTTTCACATTGTTCCACATAGAATCATGCTCACCTCTTTGCTTTCCTCTACGTCCGAGGAATCGCTGCTGAAGTCCTCAGTGTTGAGGTTCTCAAAGTCCGACTCTCCCACAGCGATGGGCACTGTGATGGTCAGGCTGGCGTTGTGGATGAAAGGCATATAGTCAGTGTTGTCATTGATTATGTACTTCGCTGCTGCGTTGCTGCCCACCCCCACTCCCACACCACTGGTGGCGCCATTGCCATCTTTTATGTATTCAGGATCTTTCATGATCTCCACGGTGGTGTGGTTGGAGTTCCAGTTGGTCCCCATGCTTTTGTGGAGGTCAACCAGGGTCTTGTCCTCGTTCAGGCTCCCCTTCTTCTTCCTCAGACAGATGCTGTGGAAGAAGCGGCGCACCAAGGCCTTGACGAAGGCGATGCCCTGGTGGATGCGGCCTATGGCCACAGTCAGATTGTTCATCTCGCTGTCATCATCCGTGGCCGCCAGGTTATCAGCACTGAACGAGCTCAGCAGCAAAGCCAGGAACAGATTTAGGACCTGCCACAAACACACAAACACACACATAAATGATGGTTTAAAGTTCCTGTAATTGATTTACGGTGGATTAATAGTCATACAGAGATGCAGTAGAGCTGAAAACGTACCACCAGGTTCCCGATGACCATGACCATCAGGAAGACGATGAGGCACATGCTCTGGCTAGCCACCTCCATGCAGTCCCACATGGTCTCAATCCACTCCCCGCACAGCACCCGGAACACAATCAGGAAAGAGTGGAAGAAGTCATGCATGTGCCACCGGGGCAGTATGCAGTCTTTAGAGATCTTACACACACAGTCTCTGTAGCTCTTGCCAAAGAGCTGCATGCCCACCACGGCGAAGATGAAGACGATTATGGCCAGTACCAGGGTGAGATTACCCAAGGCCCCCACTGAGTTACCAATGATCTTGATCAGCATGTTCAATGTGGGCCAAGACTTGGCCAGTTTGAATACTCTCAGCTGCATACAAAGATAAGAATGGGATTAATATGAATTGCTATTCCAATACGTTGACAGTCTACTTTTTTCCAGTGATTATTGAATGAACATGCAGCATTTTGGATGCTGTGCTGGAGTGTCGATGCTCTTACCAATCGGAATGATCTGAGGACAGACATTCCAGACACGTTGGCCAAGCAAAGCTCCATCAAGCTCAAACTGACAATGATACCATCAAATATATTCCAGCCTTCCTGAAAATAAATGTATGGATCCAAAGCAATAATCTTGAAACACATCTCAGCTGTGAAGATACCTGTGAACACCTGAGTAAAACAACACACAAGAACAGTGACAACAGTAATTAACATGTAATGTGTTTAAAATGGCAGATTCAAAGTGATATGGCAAAAACAAATGACATGTGACTGCGTACCAGGTTTCCCACATAAAGCATGGTGTTGAACGCCCTAGACATTGGGTAATGCTCCATAGCCATGAACACAGTGTTCATAACAATACATATGGTGATAGCTAGGTCTACAAACGGGTCCATCACGATCATCTTGACTATCTTCTTCATCCTCAGCCACTTCGGACAACAGTCCCAGATGAGGAAGGTGTTGGCAAACTTGTACCAGCAAGGAGGGCACTTCTGTCTCGATTCTTCAAGTTCTGATACATATAGAGGAGAAATAACAGAAAAATATTTGTTTTCATGAATGTGTCCTCATTTTGTCTATTCATGTTATTTGTTCTAGGGGGTGTATGGGGTATGGTATAGTCATACACACCTTCCATAGTGTTGGTTATAACACTAGCTACACTGAAGGCCCTCTGCCTGGCCACTGGGTCCTCCAGGAAGTCCATAGAGGCCTGGTACGATCCACATCGGGCTTTTCTGTACTCTGTCTCCGTAGTATTTTCCTGGAGTTACATCATTTGGAAGCATTATCAATGTATTGATAAGTCATCACAAACCAATTGCATCAACAATATTCTGTTTCTCAGTTAGCACAATGTAACCACCAAAGATGGCCATGTTCAAGGGTTTAATAATCTCTTAACCTGGAAGTAATTATCTGTTAAACCCAAAAATACTGTATTTGTATTCACATAAATAGAAAGATTTTAATAGTTTCTTATCTATATGGAATAAATAAAAATCTATATGAAAATCCAAACGTGTTTTATACTGCCTTATATTTCATATTTTTAACAAAATGTCATCTTTAGTGTGCTACTGTACATAAATACACCATAAGTAATGTTTAGGTAGTCAGGGAGAGTAAGTAGGAAGAGAGAGAAGGAAAGAAACAAGATGCGCACTACACGACCACAGCAGAGTTAGAGTAGAGGCACGGCAGGTGGAGACAAAACTGGTTTAGAGACAGCAGCACAGAGCTGGTTTAGGCCATCCAGGCTAAACTACACTTCCTTGCATTGTCATCAGTAGAGGCCTTATCTACTGTCACCTCTGGCAGAAGGAGTCCCTCAGGTGACGTGGGGAGTGAAGCCCCGCCCACTAGGGACACCACCCCCTTGCAGTCGACGGAGCTGTGCATCTTCCCATTTGCTGGCAGCAGGACGTGTGATGGCATGCTGTTCTGGCTCACGTTGCTGGAGCGCCGGTCGCTCCGCCGAGGGACAAACAGAGAGCCCCGGCGACTGTCGTTGTCCTCGAAAGTGCTGTTCTCGTCGTCGGCAAAGTCGTTCTCCGAGCCTATGTCCCGCGCACGGTCCCGGAAGCTGTAGAGGCTAGCCCGGCTGTTCCGTCTCGACGAGAACAAGGGTCCGCGGATACTTAGGAAGGACTGGGAGACAAATACATTCCTCAGTGCCTATCACTGGCATAAGCATGGGTTGAGAAGTGGAGTAATTTAAGATGGAAGAGCGGGTCCTGCAGAGGATGATTGTGATGAAGATGATGCAATGATGTTGATTATCTAGCGGTTGACCTCAGGGATAATATAAAAGGAAATGTGCAAGAGCACGATGAAGAGGATAATGATGATAATGGCGCCAAGCACAATGCTGTCGCCTCAGCTGATGAGGATGATGATGAGGATGTTGAAGAGGATGATAGTGATTACGATGATAAGGAAATTGAAAGATGATGGTGCTGCTGAAAATGAAGATGATAGTGTAGCGTTGATATTGATAAGAATGACGATATTGATAATGACGAAAATAATAATGATGATGAGATGATTAGATTCACTAAGGACTGTGTAGCATGCACAACAATTCACCAATACAGCGAACACACATACTTTTGATAGCCAAAGGTAAAGAAAGGTAGGGTAAAGCAGTATGTTAAATAAGATGAGTATCCTGACCTGGTATGGTGTTGAACATCTGATGTCGTAATTGTGCAGGTTAGAGGCATCCATGGAGAAGCGGAAGTGACTCTTTTTCATACTGCTGTCGGACTCAGACCTGTGATACTTGTCATTGTCCTCTCTCTCCTCCTCCTCTCTCTGCTTCCTCTTCTTGCGCCTGTTGCGCCTCTCTTTGGCGCTCTTGGAGCTGAGTTTGGAGGCCTCTGAGGAGGTCTCAGTGAGCCCTCCTCTCTCACTGAACTCCCCACTCTCAGCCACCATCACTGTTGCCGCCGCCTGTAAGCCAATCAACACACCTAAGCTATGGTCGTAAGGGGCAACACATGACTCAGCAGGGCAGCACAGTCATAAATAGACACAATAGGCTATTAAATGCCTTCTAAATTTAGATTAAAAGGCATTTACCTTTGAATACCTTTGAACCTTTGTATTCTGAATACTTTAAAAAATCTTGGGCAGTTTCAGTTTAAGATAAATAAGAATATGAAGAGTATATTTCCAAAACGCTATATCCACAATTTTTTCACATTTGTGTTTTTTCACTAGAAATGATTGTTTATGGGTACCTTCATATGTGTGTAAAATATTTTTATTAATCGATTTCTTTAGATGTGAATGAAAATCCTACATTCTGAGCATACAAAACATAAAGAACATCTTCCTAATATTGTGTCAAGTTGGCTGGATGTCCTTTGAGTAGTGGACCATTCTTGATACACACAGATAACTGCTGAGCGTGAAAAACCCAGCAGCGTTGCAGTTCTTGACACAAACAAGTGCGCTTTGCACCTACTACCATACCCCGTTCAAAGGCACTTAAATATTTTGTCTTGCCCATTCACCCTCTGAATGGCACACATACACAATCCATGTCTCAATTGTCTCAAGGCTTAAAAATCCTTCTTTAACCTGTCTCCTCCCCTTCATCTACACTGATTGAAGTGGATTTAACAAGTGACATCAATAAGGGATCATAGCTTTCACCTGGATTCACCTGGTCAGTCTATGTCATGGAAATAATGTTTTGTACACTCAGTGTATATCCGTTGTTTAGCTGGAATGGAATGTTCGTATCCTCTATATTTGACTGTAATATGTGGTTGTCTCACCTAGCTATCTTAAGATGAACGCACTTACTGTAAGTCGCTCTGGATAAGAACTGTTTGTAAAATTTGTTTTAAAATATTGATGTCACAAATGTATCATTTGTACAGCTCTTTATAAAAAATGTCATTATTTGTTACATTTGACTGTGTAAAACCTAGCAGTACTACTTCTTTCTCTGAGAATGAGGTGGATATATAGCATTTTGCTAAAAAACATTATTATTTGTCTCTCTAAAATGAAACCATCAAGTGATAGATTTTAAACAAATACATGTATGTCATTGAACAACCCATGATTAGATAGTGAAAACACACACCAATCTCTTTCATAATTTATTTAAACAATAAAAGGTAATTTACCAACATTTCAGAAAATGGATATATAGCGTTTTGTAATGAAACTCTTCATATATCACTAGCAATATAAATGACTATTAAAGGAATTCCATGGTTGTTGTGATTAATGAGTGTGCTGTAATGGGTGGCATATAGAGATGAGCTGGGGGATATCCTGTACCTGTGCATCCTCCTGCTGTCTCCTCAGCTGCTCCAGCATGGCCTTGAACTCCTCCTCCTTCTGCTGAGCCTCCTCGATGGTGGCCTGGTTCTGCTCGTCGTACGCCATAGCAACCACAGCCAGGATCAGGTTGATCAGGTAGAAGGAGCCCAGGAAGATGACCAGCACAAAGAAGATCATATACGGCTTCCCAGCAGCCCTCAGGGTCTGGAAGAGAAACAACACCTCTTGTAACACATTTCTATCTCTTACAACCTCTTCTAACATATCTCCAAGTAAATCACCAATCTTTGTATTATAACATATCTCTATTGAGAGGATGTTAGTGGAATACTAAAAGAACAATGATAAAACATGCATAAAATGTGTGCTCACATAACAAGCAATTCGGAACATGCACATTAACCCTGTGACATTGCGCACCTGATCTGGGGTATTGTTTTGTATTATTTGCTCAGAGTGCTTCGCTGATCTCTCTATTCAAGGCACAACAATGCATTCAAAAAGACATGTTGTCTTTGCTTTAGTCATGATGAGATACATCTTTGTTTCCTTGAGCAAAAATGCACCTGCCCTCCATCAGGAGGTTGTTTGAACAGGCAACTGGCAATCTTCTGTTTTTATTTCTGTTTCGTAATGGGAGAATGTATTCATTTTCATCACACAGCAAATTATGCCTCTCTTTGTGTTTTCAAGTGAACCGTAGAACGTACAAAGGGCATCCCTATCAAGTTAAACATGTCATTGTGGTCCTCTGTAGCTCAATTGGTAGAGCATGGCGCTTGTAACGCCAGGCTAATGGGTTTGATCCCCGGGACCACCCATACGTAAAAATGTATGCACACATGACTGTAAGTCGCTTTGGATAAAAGCGTCTGCTAAATGGCATATTATTATTATTATTATTATTAACTAGGGCCAGGATCCAAACACAGGGCTCTATTTTAACAAACCTAACGCAATGGTCAATCTAAGCGCTGGCGGTAGTGCTATAAGTCCTGGGGTGTGTCAGAAATATTTGTGCTGTTTTCACAGTTGTTATTTTGAACGCAATAGCTGGCGGTGGCGCAAAGGGCTGAGTTTTGATGAATAAAAACGTGTAGGTGTGACGAGGTCTTGGCCACTCACTGGCCAATCAAGGTGTTCTATGGCTTTTTACTGCATGCTTTTGTCTTAAGTTCTGTAGGTCTTTGCATTGTTATCAACTCCAATTCGGCTAGGGACACGGAATATTCTGGTCCTAGTCCATTGTGGATTGATCCTACAGTTTATTAAATAACATAGGCTACAGTAACGAGTGATAGCAACAGTAAAAAAAAAATAAACATACACTGGTTGCTTGATATGTTTGGAGTGTTGACAGTCAACATTGTTGTAATTGGCTTCAATGAGTATAGGCCTTTCCGCATCACACTTCTCCTCAAATAAAAATGACTAGGCATCCGTAAATGTTATTGTATGTGTGAGGCACGTTCTCAATAAGCAAGATATAGCCTAGTCATTATATAGCCTGGCATTATAGGACAGAACAATTTGAATAGCCTATGTTTGGAGGAACGTATCTGGCGACCGGACAAAAAGCGCTCTTTGGAAATGGGGATTGAAATTGTGAATAATGCAAAAGCATGTCGGCAAAAGCCTCACGAGTAAAATCATTTTATGGATAGGCTACTTGTGTATGGCCAGGATTATAAAGACACCAGACGCATTGCTGTTGAACCATCTTTCATTATAGTAGGGTAAAGTTTTTTTAATCAAACGAAATGGAAAACAAGAAACTGTTACTGGAAAATAACTTCAGTGTCCCCGGATTATCTAATATTTTGTTCCATGATGGGCATACAACCTACATGGAGAGTTCTTTATGCACATCCAAAATAATAACAGGAGCTGGCTAAAACAATGTATTACCCTACATAAATAAAAATGGGATGTCTGCTGCTGCCAAATTTGATCTTTTAATATCGTTTTGGTAATGAAGGTCTCACGACCCAAACCCTTTGTCAACACTGTTTTCACATGTACATTGATTGTTTTTTATCTTACGCTACACAAAGATAAGATAAGAAACATACATTTTTCTAAACTAATCCAATCTGTAAGTGGTTGGATTCATAGCAACCGTGAGATCGTTGTTCCAGTTTACATGGTGTAGGTAGTCTCCCTGTACTGAATTGTCTTCCTTACTTTGACAGCCATTCTAAATGCAAGTTGTGGGTGATGTAAAAGTGCTGGATATCTTCCTCCAAATTGGATCTAACAGAGATTTAATATTAAATTGCAAACTACCATAATGTGACACATCAATAAATATTCAAATAAGGCTTTACACCCTTATTACTTAAAGGAAGTAAACCGAAAGAGAAATGTACTCTGCTGGAGTTGATTGTTAATTCAAAACAACACAGAAAGTGTAAAATGGCAAGGGAGTTGATTGTGGTGTTGATATTTTTGGAGTTAAAATGACACTAAATGGAGTCCAACTCACAAAGAGTTTCAGTGTCGTTTTAACACAAAATGGGGGTGGGACCATATAAACGCCAACATTTTGTTAAATTTGACTCCATATGAGTTGAATTAACTCTTGCAATTGTACTATGTATGCTTGGTTTTTAATCAAATAAAATAAAATGGGAAAACACATTAGTTTTTATGTTTCTAAATACGAGGTTTACAGTTACAAAAAGTACATCTCTCTTGCTCCATGGGCATATGGGCACTGTGCGTCACAGCTAGATAGGCTGCGCTTCCATTGTTAAAATCCATGCCATAACCAACCGCGTTACTGCTAAATCTAGCATTCGGTTGGTCTTAAATATCCCAAGCAGCGCATACTGAAATTGGCACTTTGGCACACGTTTTTAAAGACACCTCAGATATTGCCACCACTCCCACCTTAGCACATGCAAGCTCATTTAAGACAGGTAAATGTCCAATCCTGGCGCTGGGGTTTGAAAATAGAAGAGCGCCGGCTTTAACAGGTTGAAATTGCAAACAAGCGTGCATTTGACAATTGCGCTGGGCGCTGGTTTAACACCAGACAAAAACAGAGCCCATAGTGTTCCTCACAGGTGCAGTCAGCAGCACAGGAACACAGGGAACTCCACTGAACAAACACAAGTCACTCTGTAATACCCAGGAGCTTCACTGCACATGCACACTCTCAGAGCTGGCACAAATGGGTCTGTCCAATGCAACGACAACACTAGGAGTCCCTTTGCCTGTAAAAAAGCCCCCAGTATCACGCCATGATGCAGACAGACCATAGAGTTGGGATAGAGGGCGCAATTGGCCCAAAGCCTTTTTTAGCAAGGGTAGCACCCTTGAGGTAGCCTTGAGGAACCAGCCTGATCGCTGCCTTCACGATTCTGAAAGGAATGGCAATCAGGCTGGTTCCACCAGGCTTCCAATGAGAGCTTTCACCATTTTGAAGTAGTCAACATGGTGGGAGTTGCTATGGGTTACCGAACAATTACAGAATTCCATCCAGGTGAGCGGAAAAGGTAAGCCAATGAATTATACACCTGAGCAAACATTCCATAACTACAGGTGGCAGTTAATCCCCAACCTTGGCTTTATATCTGTTTAGATTATACACTCCAGCACAGTAAGTGGTATGCACCTTTTCAGTCTACGTACAAACTGCCAATACACTCATAGAAGTAAAAGAAGAAGACATTGACTACTTTAAAATGATGATAGCCCTCAATGACAATGGCCAAGCTGTCACAAAAACCGGCCATTGCAAAGACAGGAGATGAGCTCTCTAGTACATCTCTATGAGACAGACCTGCTGGTAGAGGTTCTCCCAGTAGTCCTGAGTCATCAGTCTGAACAGAGACAAGAAGGCCCAGCTGAACGTGTCAAAGCTGGTGTAGCCGTAGTCTGGGTTCCGGCCCGCTTTGATGCACAAGAATCCCTCTGGGCACAGCCTACAACAAACAACAAGGCTGGGAAACTCAAACAGAATCATAATCACCATCACTGCATTCACAAAATCCTGTGAAGTCTATTTGATATTAACGCACAAAGACATGCACGACCGCAAGCAGGTACGCACACGCACACACACAAACAAACACAAGCACAATCAATAGTGCATCCTGACAATCAGACACAAAGATAGTAACGTGGGCTGGATCTTACCCAGCACCACTGCCATTTCCACAAAGCAAAGCATCCCTTTTACCTGGGAGGTAGTAATAATTATCTACAGGAAAAAGAGACAAAGTCAATCTTTCGCCAACTGCAAAAAAGAGAAAAGATTTTCATCATCACCTTCATCATCATCAGCATTGTAACTGGAGAACAGTTCAAAGCTTTAATCACGCAAATCACTTTCACTTTCTCTTATCTATTTTCTCCCCTTTCACCCCATGGCTGCCCAGGTCCTAGTGTCATGGCCATCCAGGTGCCATTTTCCCCACTTGGGTGGTGACTCAATGCCCTCCGTGTTGACAAGCTAGACATGCCACTAGTATCATCCACAAACCGGCAATGTTATGATTAACCGCCACACTACTTCCCACCAGAAGCTCTTACAAACCCCTCTCAGCCATTCCTGTCATTTTACGTTACGCTCTTCAGCCAGGGCTGCTTGTTTGGCTATTAGCAATCAGCTGTGACTCACTCACTGTGGTCCATGGCTACCAGCATGGTATTCACCCTCCAATGACTGTCTAAAGCCAAAGAAACATGCTTACCGGGATTATTTGTGTAATTGGTCCAGTTGAACGGGCTGGTCTCGTTAAAGTCAGCATCATTATATTCCGTCCCATTAAAGTCCAATGTTTCATTAAAGTAGTTGGTTGAGTTAGGACGGATCCTTAAACATTTGTTTCTTAAATCGCCCATAAACAGCTGCAGCCCTATTAGGGCAAAGACACTTAGGCAGAATACAGTGAGGATCATCACATCTGACAGTTTCTTCACTGATTGGATCAGCGCTCTCACAATGGTCTTCAGGCCTGCAGGACATGACAGAACCTCACTGTTATTCGCATAGGAGTCTTATACAGTGTATGCAAAGAAGAAGCTTAATTTGTATACAATGTAAACATCACAGCATGAAACAGCATCTCTGTTGCTTCATATGTTTAAAAGAAAACAGTCTGAATTTTTCACTTTTTTTTTTCACTAGAAATGATTGCTTATGGGTACTTTAATGTGTGTGTAAAATATGACTGTTCTCAGATTTTTTATTCATAGATTTTCTTTGTTGCTAAACGCTATATATCCATTGTTTAGCAGGAATGGAATATTTGTATACAGTATATTGACTGTATGTGGTTGTCTCACCTAGCTATCTTAAGATCAATGAACTAACTGTAAGTCACTCTGGATAAGAGCATCTACTAAATGACTAAAGTATTACATGTAAATGTTTTACATACAGATGTCATATAACTGTATTGACACATTTTTTATATTGAAAAATGGTGTTATTTGTTACATTGGACTGTGTAAAACCTAGCAGTTCTACTTATTTCTCTGAGAATGAGGTGGATATACACTGAGTGTACGAAACATTAAGAACACCTTCCTAATATTGAGTTGCACCCCCTCTCCCCGTTTTGCCCTCAGAACAGCCTCAATTAGTCGCGGCATGGACTCTACAAGGTGTCAAAAGCATTCCACAGGGATGCTGGCCCATGTTGACTCCAATGCTTCCCAAAGTGGTGTCAAGTTGGCTGGTTGTCCTTTGGGTGGTGGACCATTCTTGATACACACAGGAAAATGTTGAGCGTGAAAAACTTCGCAGTTTTGCAGTATGGTAGTAGGTGTGCCTGGCATACTCTGTTCAAAGGCACTTACATCTTGTGCCCTTGTCACCCTTTGAATGGCACACATACACAATCAATGTCTCAATTTTTTCAATGCTTAAAAATCCTTCTTTAACCTGTCTCCTCCCCTTCATCTACACTGATTGAAGTGGATTTAACAAGTGACATCAATAAGGGATCATAGCTTTCACCTGGGTTCACCTGGTCAGTCTATGTCATGGAAAGAGCAGGTGTCCTTAATGTTTTGTACAGTCAGTGTATAGCGTTTTGCAAAACAACATGATTATTTGTCTCTCTAAAAGGAAACCATCAAGATATAGATTTTAAACAAATACATGTCTGTCATTGAACAACCCCATGCCATGATTAGATAGTGAAAAAAACACACCAATCGCTTTCATTCGTTCTTTAAACAATAAAAGCAAATTTACCAACATTCTGAAAATGTATATTTAGCATTTTGGAAAGAAACTCTTCAATTGCCATAGAATGGTATGCTGGCAGTGCTGTGACACATTCTACTGTCTCAATGGGTGGTCTTACACAATGAGAATGTTGAATCTGTTATCTAATGTTATTTTCTCTACTAGAATGATATGAGCCATGATAAGCACATAATCTTTTCTGACTAAGATCCAAATCCCAGCAGTATGTTTATAGCACACAATGTAGCTTACAATTAAGTCCCTGATTGGTTGATAATAAAAACAAATAAGCTAAGGAGCATAGTTGTTATAATGGCCGGACAGTTCTGGCCACAAATTGACATATGTTGTAGTAGATATTATATATGTGTGTTATAAACCCTACCAAGAGCTTGGATCAGAAAATATGTCGTAGAGTATAATAACAAAAGCATGCATGTTTGTGAGGAAGGGCATACATCACAATCAGCTCTAACATATGAAACACCCTTACTAGACCAAAACACAGTCTGTCTTCATTGAACAGGAGCAGTTGAATGAAGGCACACACCAGTCAGGGAGAACACTGACAAGCAACCATCCCAAACAGCAAAGGAAGGAGAGAAGAGCTGGACAGCACCACAAACACAATTAAAGCTGGATTTAAACAAAGTGTCATGCAAACAAAATCGTCTAGACCCCCAAGGCTGTTCAGTAAAAATAAACAAATCAATAAATAAAATAGTCTAAAAGCAAGAAATCCTTTCCATTTTAAATGAACTGCTTCAGATTTCTGCTTTTACTGGCAGCATGAGAGGCAAACCATCAGACCTAAAGAAAAGCGTAAAGGTGAAGTGACCCTTAAACTTTGATGGAGTGAGTAGTACAGTACCACCCTTTGGCCCCTAAACCTTGTCCCTTAACCTGGCTCTCACCTGGGATGACCGATATAGTTTTCAGTGCTCGGAGAACCCTGAACGTTCTCAGTGCTGACACATTGCCCAGGTCCACAAACGATGTGATATATCTGTAATAAAGGGGAAGTCGCATACAGACGCCATGACAGGACAACAAAGAGCAATCGGAGGAAACATCACACAAGGAAGGGGCTGGCTGACAGCTAGCAGCAGGCACTCCTTACCTGGGATAACTGAAATAGTTTTCAAAGCTCTCAGTACTCTGAAAGTGCGAAGAGCTGAAACATTGCCTAGTTTTACAAACTCTGTTACATACCTGCAGGAAAATGCACAATTACAATAGAGTTTGTGTAGTTCAGGAGAAAATACATTCATGTAACATGGCAAGGGCCCTAAACCCCTCAAACACTATTACATGGTGGGATAGACAATAGGTGTGAGGAGTCTGAGGAATGACACTATCGAAGATAGACTGAGGAGTGCCTCAATGTTCATCATGTCTGCATGGTATTGTAATTACAAAGATGTGCAACCATTCTAACACAGTATTGCAACACGACTGTTCTCTTGGGTATGCTCCAACAATGAAAGCACTAACAACCCAAATAATAAACTAAGGGGACTTGTTGCCCCTGAACAACAAACATAATCAATGTACTAAACTACATGGACAGTTACCCAATACTTGTAACTCATCTGCCTCATGCAGCAAAAACAAATGGTAGTGAAGTTTGGTAGCTGTTAGTAGAAATAGGCAAAATTACTAGTAGTGAAGAAGTGGGTTTGTTGCGAGAACTTTACAGACTGAACATTAGTGTATTGTGTTGCCATTAGTTACATCATACAGCTAGGTACGTAATAATAGCAGAAGCTAATATTAGTTGTTGATTAAGCTACAGTATCCTGTTACTGATCATAACAGGAACATTTGAGAATACTTACGCCATGACAATAACACAGAAATCCAACCAGTTCCATGGATCTCGTAGAAAGGTGAACTTCCCTACACAGAAGCCCCTTGCCAAAATTTTTATAAGAGATTCAAATGTATAAATTCCTGTGAATGTGTACCTGTTGGAAACAAAGGGGACCGGTTAGTCTACATAGATAATTGTGGATGTGTATTGTGGATGCATGTAGATTTTGAGGTAAGAGGATGACTTACTCTACATTCTTTGCCCAGTCTGGAGGCTGACTCAGGGTCATAAACGCACAGTTGGTAAGGATAGTGAACATGATTACCATGCTGAACAATGTGGAGGCAGTTGTCAAGGATACTGAACTGTCCAGACTGGATAATTCAATATTGTTTACACATGACATACGATACAACACCTGACATCAGGCATAATACGTCATATCAGGTGACCACATATTTTCAGTACACAACTCACTATATTGCACAATGATCTGTTCAAATAGGATAAAGATATGGGATATAGGATAGAGATTTAATTTGACCTAAAAAAAAAACATTCCCCGTGGTAATTTGTTTTTTAATGAAAGGATATGAGTGAACCAAAACCTTCATTGATATTCTTCTAAGAGGGTTGAAAGGGCTTAAGACATACAAGGCAGGAGTGGCGTTGAAGCGGAAGATGGCCTTCCCTCGGTTCAATACTATAAAGGTCTGTGAGAGAGAGAGAAAAGGAGAGAGACAGAGCGAGAGAGAAAGAGAGAGACAGAGAGAGAGAGAGAGAGAGAGAGTTACAGAGACAGAGACAGAGACAGAGACAGAGACAGAGACAGAGACAGAGACAGAGACAGAGACAGAGACAGAGACAGAGACAGAGACAGAGACAGAGACAGAGACAGAGACAGACAGGGAGAAAGACACCCCATGAGACTGTAAACACATATTCCTGGTCAGTTAGGAGTGATGGAAATGAACTATTCACTAAACAAAAAAGAGCAACAACACAACACCAGCTTCTGGCGTTACTATAGCACATATTCTAGAAGCAGTGATACTCTGTGGTGTCGTGATATGTCTCCCCTGAAATTGTCAGAGGGGAGCCATATCAATCCTTGCTTTCCTGTCACCTTGGATACAAAGGCTCTGGATGGATGACAGTGTGCTTCATCACCTGTCCTACACAATAACAACTGAACTTGGATCTGACAACAGAGAAAGCCTGTGCTACGACAACTCTGGGTGTCACAGCATCACAGTGCCTGACACAGAGATCTCTCACAGCACACATGACTGGATAGACAGTAGTAGGCATCAGCATAAACCCTCTGCTCAAAATATTAGGCAGATCCAAAGTTGAGGGCTACTGTATCCAAAAACATAAGCTACTGTATCCGTTATGCAACATTACAGACAACTGTGTGTTACACATTAATGCATGTCTATGCTTTCCAAGACTGCCATAACCCTTCACAACTCCTTCAAACACCTCTCCCTTGGTTTCAAAGCACAGCTCTTTGTGATGACCAATCCAACTCACTTTCTGGTTGCTGTAGAAGGTGTCCAGGTCCTCCAGTGGTGTGGACACCAATCCTTTGGGAATGTCCCCATATATGAGTGGCAGTGATTTTCCTGCCTCCAGGTCACTGCTGGGCTTGGGCCTGTTGTCGTCATCGTCGTTGGGCTTCCCCTTGGGTTTCTTGGCGTTCTCCTCAGCGATCCGCCTCTCGATGGCATCAAGGGATTCACGACAAAACAGGCGGAAACTCTCTGGTCCTGGCGGTACAAGCAGCTGTGCCATCTTTTCATCCTGCACCTTCAGAGTGAACGGCTAGCCTTCTTCATTAGAAAGGACTGGAGAAAAAAGAGGGAGAAACTCCAGTTAAAGGCAAGTATAGTAACTGGGCATCAACTACTGAGGCATGGATATCCTAAAAACTACATAAAACCTGCAAAATATTTCTGCTGAAGGACATTTGCAACCTGTATGAGTGCCGAACGCAGTGACTTGGACAATATTCTTCCGTTATAATCTTACACTCGAAATCACCCAATGTCACACGGATACTAGTAACTAGGAAAACAAAAATGCTTTCCATACCACATCTCTTTGGCAGTCAACAATCAATATGAGATACTTCACAGTCTATTCTTCACACCTATCACTTTACTTAAAAAAAGAAAACAAGCCTATGAGTGGAGGGAGATCTGGCTGTGGATCCCACAGAGGAGAAGTAGCAGGCCATTATGAGTCTAGAGAGACCTGGACTCGCTCTTGAATCCACAGCAACTACATGGCGATAATGAAATCAGATTTGCCATATAATACAGGGGATTAAATTGAGGGATTTCGCATCACATGAGGCTTCTAGTTTAACCCATTACTCTCTGTTACAGAGCAAATCCTACCGACAACAGCTAGAAGGCATGGTTTCGTTCCAAGCCCAGAGTTTCCACTTCAAAAGGAGTAATGAAAATACAGGGAGAGGCTGATTTTCCAAATAGGTTCAGAGAGTAGTAAGATGATGCACAGGGACACTGCAATGGCAATATCGAGCATCCCTTTACTACAGCTCCCTCTGCATCTGTCCCATTGTGGAGAGGCCTCAGCTTTATGTCTATGTCATTGGCTTTATAGTGCAATAGTGTAATAAAATATGTCCATTGTTTGTCTTGACAGATCCAAGAAATCAATCCCTAACACATTGGTCAATGCTGGACTGGATTTAATTTAAATCACATCAATATGTCAACATAGTAAAATTTAGTGAAACGAAAATAGCTGTTGTAACCTCTGTTTGAGGTGTATTTGTGCTCTGCTATGGCATTAGGTCATATCACCCCATATTCATCATGAGAGTCGTGTTGCCTTGGGTTCTGGGTTGTAGGTTGTGAATATGAATGATTTGTTACATATAACAGAAAAGCAAATCCTGCCTAAGGCAGCATAAGACACTATAATATAAATACCTTATTAGCACAGCTGTGGTTGACTAGTTTGACTCTTTAGCCAGCTGCACACAAATGCTAATTCATATTACCCTGAATTTGGAACGAACTAATAAGTGCATATGGTCAGCATTAGTACTCTATACTACTCACATCCTCTATTCACTTTAATGGCTAGTATCCACATCTAATTTTCCTTCATTAAATGGAAGAAGTCATTGAGAAATGGCTTTCCGGTAAGAGTTTATCTGTACAGAATTTGCCAGTTGTAGCTGTGTATCAAATTCAGCTACAGTAGCTTATCTAGAATTCCTCCTTAATGCATCTGGCACGTTCACTCCAAAGCCAAAGGCCTTTACAGTTGCCAAAAGTGCAAAAATACATAGTGAAAAAAATCTGACTACTCTATTCGGTACAGTACATCTTCCAAATGGGATAGGACCTACGTATGTTCACAACAGTTGAATATACAGTTTCACAACAGTTTCATCCATTCAGTGGACTATTCTTGTGCACATTATAAGGAGTCCAACATTAGGACATAGTCATGGCATGCACATTGCTTGTGGTCACAAGTCTGAGTGCATGCACTGAAATAGCAGAGCACATGCACAAGTAGAAACAGTTATGAAAAGAGTGCAATGAAGTGCTGACACCTGCATTCTGAATAATATAACAAATTATTCAGAATTTAATATTTTATATTGTTGGCTATAAAAATATACATTTCATATTCAAGCCTGGATGGGTGACAAGTCTATGTAATATAGCCAATATTTTCTATTAGTTTAAAGTATTTTTATGTTAAGAGTTTTTTAACTTTTTAGAGTTTACCCATTGGGCACAGACATCAGTTGAATGTCTAGTTTTGAGTTGTCAATTAACATGACTTCAACGTGAGATCAACAAAAAGGTTAACCATGTAATTGGTTTTAGGTTCAAAGTTGGGTGAAAAAAAGACAAACATTCCTGAAATTCCTTTAAGTTGATGACTTTTTACAAATCCAATCAGTTTTCCACGTTGATTCAATGTCATCACATTGAATGTTTTGGTTGACATTATGTGGAAACGATATTGATTCAACTAGTTTTTGCCCAGTGGATACCTTGCTCGACAAACAAAAACCTGTAGTGGAACAGGTTGAGAGCTTCAAGTTCCTTGGTGTCCACATCACCAACAAACTATCATGGTCCAAACACACCAAGACAGTCGTGAAGAGGGCATGACAAAGCTTATTCCCCCTCAGGAGACTGAAAAGATTTGGCATGGGTCCTCAGATCCTCAAAAAGTTATACAGCTGCACCATCGAGAGCATCCTGACTGGTTGCATCAACGCCTGGTATGGCAACTGCTCGGCCTCCGACCGCAAGGCACTACAGAGGGTTGTGCGTACAGCCCAGTACATCACTGGGGCCAAGCTTCCGGCCATCCAGGACCTCTATACCAGGCGGTGTCAGAGGAAGGCCCTAAAAATTGTCAAAGACTCCAGCCACCCTAGTCATAGACTGTTCTCTCTGCTACCATACGGCAAGCGGTACCGGAGCGCCAAGTCTAGGTCCAAAGGGCTTCTTAACAGCTTCTACCCCCAAGCCATAAGACTCCTGAACAGCTAATCATGGCTACCCGGACTATTTGCATTGTCCCCCAAACCCTACTCTGTTTATTATCTATGCATAGTCACTTTAACTCGACCCATATGTACATATTACCTCAATTACCTTGCACATTGACTCTGTACCGGTACCCCCTGTATACAGCCTCCCTACTGTTTCTTTTACTGCTGCTCTTTAATTAATTGCTATTTTTATTTTTTACTAATCAATTTTTTACTTAACACTTATTTTTATACATGTTTATATATATATATTTTTTAAACTGCATTGTTGGTTAAGGGCTTGTAAGTAAGCATTTCACTGTAAGGTCTACACCTGTTGTATTCGGCGCATGTGGCAAATACATTTTGATTTTATTTGATGTAAATGTCTGTATGAATCATTCTATATTTTATCCGTGCACCACATTCCAACAGGTATATAAGTTAGAATGCGCCATGATGGAAAAAATACCTCCTTTAAGTTTTATCAAAGCTTAATCAATGCTTCAATGACATCTGGGAGCAATTCCCAGTTTCCAATGTAATCGATGAGGTGCCAGGTTTGAGTCATGCTATAATCCTGGTACTAACCTTTCTCTAGGCTCAGGGAGGCAGGTCTCTCCATTGAACCTATTACAAGATTTTTTGCCTTCAATTTATTTTAGATCGCTTCTACCAGAGAATACAGGTAAATGTATGGTCACAATCCAGCTGCAAGACAAAACCACTGGCAATATCATTCATCACAGTATCTTCATATAACACAGCATGTAAGATCATTATTCCTATAACCTTGGTACATCTAACTCAATGTGCATTAAGATAATAAACAGATAATGGACTAGATACAGGATGTCAACTAAAAGGAATTTAATTGTAGATTGCAGTTAGCTACTTTGATCAGTCAGATATGGCCGTAGGTGTGTGCCCAGACTGTATCCAGCGAAAACATGGTGACTGTTGGCAGCGGTTGAAAAATTCAAGTTGGGTAGGCTATGTTCTGTGTTAACTCCCTGAATCCATGTTTATTAACATACTGTAAATACTGATTAGTGATTAGACTTAATATGTGAGCCAAAATAAATACTGAAACGACTGGCCACCAAACATAGCATAAACAGATGACCACCATCATTCCTGTTCCCAAGGACTCTAAGACTTCATGCCACAATGACTACCGCTCTGTAGCACTCACATCTGTAATCATGAAGTGCTTTGAGAGGCTGGTTATGGCACACATCAACTCCATCATCCCAGACACCCTAGATCCACTCCACTTGGTGAGGGTAGGCAACATCACCTCCGCCACGCTGACCCTCAACACGGGGGCCATACAGGGGTGTGTACTTAGTCCCCTCCTGTACTACCCGTTCACCCGCGACTACATGGCCACGCACGACTCCAACACCATCATCAAGTTTGCTGACAACACGACGGTGATAGGCCTGATCACCGGCGATGATGAGGCAGCCTACAGGGAGGAGGTCAGAGACCTGGCATTGTGGTGCCAGGACAACAACCTCTCCCTCATGGTCAGTAAGACCAAGGAGCTGATCGTCGACTACAGGATAGCACCACCCTCGATCGCATGGCGCTACAGAGGGTGGTGCAGACAGCCCAGTACATCACTGGTGCCGAGCTCCCTGCCATCCAGCACCTCTAAATCAGGCAGTGTGAAAGGAAGGCCTGGAAAATCGTTAAAGACTCCAGCCATCCAAGCCATAGACTGTCCTCTTTGCTTCCGCATGGCAAGCAGTACCGGTGCATCAAGTCTGACACCAACAGGCTCCTGAACAGCTTCTATCCCCAAGCCATAAGACTGCTAAATAGCTAACTAAATGGCTACACAGACTACACAGACTATCTGAGTTGACCTTATATACTCATGCACACTGACACTCCAACACACACACACAAACACTTACTCCATCATTGCTCACACACACATAATATGCACATACATTTATACTGACTCTACACACACGCACACCCACTCACATACAATCATCATATACACTGCTGCTACTCTCTTTATCATATTTCCTGATGCCTAGTCACCTTACCCCTATACATGTCTACAGTCAGGTCCATAAATATTTTGACATTGACCAAGTTATTATTTTTTAGCTGTCTACCTCAGCATATTGAATAAGAGCTTAAAGTGCAGACTTTCAGCTTTAATTTGAAGTAATCTACATCCAAATTGGGTGAACGGTGTAGGAATTACAGCACTTTTTATATTGTCCAAAAGTAATTG